AGGACGGTCCCTGACAATGATGTTGATGAGGTCGAGCAGGGGGTCAAAGGTCAGGCTGTCAGAGGGAGTGTACGGTCCGCATGCCACCAGCACATTCAAGGGCTCTGCAATCGCATGAGAGGAAGAGTGTATATGCAATAACTGACATAAAAAATAAAGAATTAACTTTGACATAAACAGACTGCACAGTCCCTCCTTATACTGTATAGTAGTTAAAGGCTTTCAGATATTACAGAAAGTGTTACAAATGTTAACAGCCAACATCACTTACCTTCATTCATCTCCATTTTCACCTCAGAAGTGAGGAAAGGAAGAGGGACTCCCTGAAAAAGACAAGAGTATTAACAGAAGAAAATCAAACAGGCCCCAGTTCTAAACATTTAGAAATTCATGAGCAGTTCATTGGAATTTCTATTTAAACTAAAAGTTGATTTCTAAAAAGGCATTATCTTTCAGAACTAAGAAAAAAACTTTTATAACTCGTAGCTGACCTCGTAGAGTTTGGAAGCCATCAGTTTCCTTCCTGTTGTGTTCATCCCCTCCATCACTACCACCTGAGGAAAGAGAGCAGAGTTTCATTCACAGCACATAGAGTTTATTTATTCTTCTGTGGTATTTGTTGATATTTTGTCAGAGTTCTCGGTCGGACGCTGGGATCGTCTCCTGCCCAGGTCCCTGGCATGCTCTGTTGCTCTTGGTGACCGTGTAACCTGCTGCACACACACTTCAGTGCAGAGGAAAAGGGGAGGCCACCATCATACACACTCACAACACAATGCACTCTAGTCTAGAGACTTACAATGTCAGAATATTAAGGTTGTAACAAATGTCATTTCTTTACATTCAAAGCTTCTATTCAAAAGTATAGTTTTGTTATTGTAGAAACATTTATGTAATGTATGGTGCCGTTAGATGGCTGCTTGACCACCATGTTAGGTGTGTCTTGAAGAGCAGTGACCACAATGAAAATGTTGTTTTTGAAAGATGAAATGAAAACTATTCCATTCGACAAAAACATGTTGTGAATTTTTATTGATTAAATCCATCCTTTTTCATAAGAATTTGACTTGAAGTAATTACAATGACAAACCTAATGTGCCACTGTGCTGAAGTACCAGGTTTAAGAACAATGAATAGACATGCAGAAAAAGAAGCTGTGCAGCATTGATATTTGTATTTAGAATTTAAATGTAAATGCTACGAATGAAGCTTCGAACTATTCAGAACAGCCCTACAACTACATATGAATAAAAACTGACACATTAAATCCTGCTAGAAATATTTCTGTAGCTTGATCCTCAAGGACAAGAAGCTTCCTGTCTGCTCACCTGACCAGGAAACAGGGAGTAGTTTTTGAGCTCTGATAGGTCCACAGGTATTTGCTGCCCGCCTTGCTCCGGACCCGCCTCCAGGAGAACCGAGTGAGCGTTCAGTTTGCCGTTACTGTCACAGCAGACCTGACCCAGCACTGTGATACTGTCCTGCAGGAGGGGGGGTAGAAAACACACCAAACTGAGCAGACAGGCAATACTTAAATCATACAAATAAGCGCAAAATAGCAATTGTGGTGCACATGACGATATATCTTATATGAAGTCAAGATAAGCATGTTTACCTACAGGGACACAAACCATGACTTACATTTGTCTTGATGTTCAGAAATATTCAACAGCAGATTTAAATGTACAAAGTTTTAGCATCAATACTTTTAAGTCAAATTGGATGCTGATTTGTTTATCGTTTCAAAAAGAGTAAAATATCAAATTACAACTTGAAGATATCCATGATGTTTTCAAAACTTATGGAAATCATGGGTTTGAGGCTTCTATGGTTTTGGAGGATTTTCCCAGCAGTATCACGTCTGTACCTGAGCGGGCAGAGAGACCGGGGAGAACTCTTCGATGTTGAAGTGAACCTTGAGTCCCTCGCCCAGCTCCTCTATCTTCTCCGTCAACACTGGGGGATATAGAAACAAAGATCTTCAAACAATCATGAACATTTTTTATAATAATCAAAGCAGGCTGTATACTGTTTAATTCTTTAAAAATAGAAATGTATGAAAACCAGTGTTGTGCGAGATTTTAAATAATAGGACTCTCTCCTCCAAATGATTTGTTATGATTTTAATGCTTTTGAAGTGTGTGTCTCTCACCGTTTCGAACGTCTCGCAGCCTCTGGAACATGTACTTGTAGCTGCAGCGGAGCGAGTCCTCGGGCCCCTCCAGGAGCTCCAGCTGGACGCCGGCGCCTGACTCCTTCCTGCCGGCCCAGCGGGTCCCCTGCACGACCCCGAAAGAAACCACCACCTCCCCTTTCGCTCCTCGCTGGCTGTACTTCTGTGACGGTGTTGAACTTCCAAAGAAAGAAAGTAAGAGTCACAGTTCAAAATGGTTTATCTTGACAAGTTGTTCATTACATGATACCATAACCAGTGGTTCAGTGAAAAGTTCAAACACCTTTTTGCTTTCTGTTTCATGGCCACAACATTACGCAAAGCATTCACATTAAACAATTGTTAAAGAAGCCAATGAATTGTAAATTAAACAAAAAGGTCAGTTGGAATAAAATGCTTTATCCTGCATGTTTGGTCTACTTACTACCGTTTGTGTTTTGTGTGAAAAGTGACATATACGTTTATTATTACTTTTATACAATGAACAAAGTAATAGTAGACACCACTTTGACACATCATCATGTCACTACACAATGAGAGGTTGTCCCCTTGGTTCATCTGAAATAAAAACGATTTTGATACCAGTCAAGTGTTATTCAGCCGTTTACTAGTAACTTTCTTTCTGTGTGTGTGCGTGCGTGTGTGCGTGCGTTCGTTGCTGGGTACCTGGGAGAAAAGCTGGCCGGAGACAGCAGCAGGCCGGGGCTGGTCAGCTGAGCTGCACTTCTTTTAGAGTGAGGGTGCTCAGGAGTGGTCAGCGCTCGCTTCTGAGAGCCCTATATACACACACACGCACATTCAAGGGTTTTATCTTTCCGTTTAGTTTTCTTGAACTTTGAATTCATATCTTAGAAAAGTTTGAAGGAACCGGGCACTGGGACACAGAAAACCTTCAGTGTAGAGCTGGAAGTATTTGGGTTTTTCCTCAATAATTTTATTTCTAACTGATATGTTCATTAAATTCAATGAAAAATAAACAGTACTATACATTTTTAAATATTAAATGCAAGGTCCTGCAACATCATAATTTTGTTCTGAACATGTAAATCCCTCAAAAGAAAAATAGTCTGTAATCAAAAGCTACAGCTTACCTTAGCAGGGGTAGAGTAAGCGTCCAGTAGGTTCTCCTCCTCTTCCTCAGCTTTGATTCTGAACAAATAATGTTAAGGACTGTGAAATTCTTTATTGGCAAGCCTTAATAAACTAATATGTTTTGAGGGTCATAAGCTCTTAGTTACTGTGTTTTGAAAAAAGTACGATATTAATAAATATTATGTCTCATGACAGACAACAGATACGTTTTATTCAAGGCTCTTTTTCTCGAGTTCACTGTGAAGGATACAAGTCCTGCAGCGAGTGGATGTCTCTGGTTCTGTTGTGAGTTTCTTCTTTTTTGAAGCTTTGTTTGGATTTATTCTTCTTGTTCAACACCTGCCAAGAAAATGAACTGGGTATGAAAACAACATTCGGTGCCCTGTCTGAGAGTGGGGACAGTGTTTTGACCGAGAAAGGGCCATGTTTAAGTAAACAACAACCACTCACAACATCCCTGACAAAAAGACAAATTAATTTATGTCATCCTTACCTCATGTTCAAAATACTCCAGGGTGTCGGTGGTGAGTTTTAGTCCATTTTTGGTTGTGCTGTAGGCCACCCACTCTAGCACCATCTCATCTGCCTGTATCCTGTTGCAAATGCACTGCTCCACCACTGAGGAGAGAGGAGGGATAGGAAGGAGGGCAGGTCAAAAACGATGTAGCAATTAAGATGACTTCAAATACAGTCCACAATCACTTTGAATTAAGCACATTTAAATCATACATGTAAATGCTGAAATACTGCAAGTACAAATAAAAGTCAAGCAATCAAAATCTTACAGTAAAGTACAAGAGTATTAGTATTAAAATATGCTTTAAGTACACAAGGTAAATTAGCCATTATGCAAAATGACTTGAAACATAAACATTTACATTATATTACCGGATTATAATTTATTACTGCAGGTGGTAAAGATGGAGCTGATGTCTATCAATATTTATCAGTTGCTTTATAGTCTGTATATATAATCTGACTGCAAACTAACAAGTAACTAAAGCTGTCAAATAAATTAAATTAAGTAAAAAAAAAAGCGTCATATCTGTTTTCAAAATGTAGTGTGGTATAAAGTAGCAAAAGAAGTACATAAGTAAAGATCAGCATAGAGTTAAGGTTCTTATTTTCCATTAGAGCACAGCAAACAGACATGTTAAATATCACGTTAACACTGTGTAACATTATACAATGTTGACTATTTGGGTGGTTATTGTTATTCTTAGCTGCTATAGGCGACGCTATTTATTATAAAAGGAAAACAATAAGCATGTATTAGCTACTTACTCTTGTCGAGGATTGTGTCATCTTGGCAGGCTATGTCGAACATTTCCAGCTCTGATTTGAGGCTTTCTCCGGTCACTACAGCCATGGTTTTGTGCTGAATATTTACTAGATTGTGTAGTAATGGAGGGGATACAATGTCCAATATGTTGATGATACCTTGGTAGCTTTCGTTAGCTTTGCTCTCACTTCATAGCAACGATAAATATCAACTTGACTTTAGTATGCGATTTTTAATACAAGTTAAAGCAGCTATCCTTACGTTAGATGGCAGAATAAAACACCAGACGCTCATTTCATTTTACCGCGAAAAAGTGCTGCTGGTGTTGGCGGCCGGAACTGACGTCACATCCCATAACAATAATAAGCGGAAGTAAGCAGCCCCACAAAATAAAAGATTTCGACTCCATCTAGCGGTGAACACGAGTATTTTAATTTTTTCGAAATACTTCAATGAGTAACCAGTCTTGTTTATCTAGCTTAACTTGTTTTAAACTCATAAACAATAGCGTGAAGTACAGTACTATATTAAGCAACCTTACAGTCTCAATACAAATGTACACATTGAAGTACAACTGAATTTGTAAAGTTACTAAAGTTATCTTTACATTTTTAAAATGTAAAATATTTCCCTTTGATATAAAGTTGAGTAGAAGTAACATTACATTGTTTGTTGAGGGGTACATATACAAAAATTCAAAAACATCATCTCAGATCACAATTTCAGTTCAGTGTAAATCTCAGCTTGAAATGTTTAGTTTTTTCAAAAGTGTTTATAAAAAAAGATCTGATGTAAAACACAAACTATGATAAGAAAGGATACATTTTGTTTTTTAGTAAAAAGTTAATTTCTATTTCTATCACCACTACATTAACAAAAGCCCTACTGGCACACATTGAACTGCAGAAATAATAATTTCCATGTGAACTCCTTTCAAACCCTTCAACTCAGATTTCTCTTCCGGTGGGATCCTCCCCCTCAGATTCTTCTTCTACCTGTAAAAGTAACAACGTGGTGTCAGACTGTGGATAATAATCACATGTTTAGAACTGCTGAACTGTTGCTATGGTGACAGAAGTCCCACTCACCTGAGCTGAGGGGCACCTGCACCTAGGAGCGAATTTCCACGATGTCACCCTCCTCAAGGATTCATGGAGGGAGGCGCTCAGGTAGTGAGTGTCCCTCACCTGACAAACACACACAACCTCACATGTAACACGTGTTTTCACAGTGTAGCAAATTACCTGGTAACATGTTAAGCCAATGGCCTTTTGAGTTGGGAAAGGGAGTTATTTTATATTAGAAATAACTATAAATATATGTAGATACAAATGTTTGTATTATTTGTTTCCTACCTTCATGCTGTTGAGACAGGCGTTTCTGAAGTCCATGTTAGAGCTGGAGCTCACGATACTGATGGAGGAACTGAGAATCACCTTTGCTGCTGAACGCATCCTCTGTTGGCTCTGAACATCCAAACATAGACCATCAGGACCCACATCAACATTTCATTTTATTAAAGTGTATTTATCATTTATTTCCATTGATTGATTGGATTAATCTATAAAATGTCATACAATAATGAAATTAACATTAAAATCCCCAAGAGCCCAAATGTTTTGTGTTCAAATGTAAAGGTTTTACCCAACAAACAGCCTAAAACCCCAAATATATTACATTTTCAATGATTAAAAGCAGATAAAAGCTGCAAATTCTCATGTTTGAGAGGCTGCAACCTGCAAAAGTTTGACATCTTTTCTTGCTTAATAATTACAAAATGAAAAATCTACTATTCTGTCTTTCAATGAGTCAAATAATTGCTGAGGCACAAACACTTTTATGTAAAATTATTAATATCATGGGAAAAAACACTACAATACATGATTGAATTGATTTCCTCTCTAGCAGTTGTTGTGTAGGTGGACCTGCCTGTTTTCTTAGATTTTGGGCTTTCAGTGCGTCCTTCAGCTCAGTCTGTAGGGCTCTTGTGACGGCCTGCCTGTTGTTGTTCAGAATATCCTCCAGGTGGCGCTGTATCAGCACCTCTGTGGCTGTGGGAGGATCGCAGACACAGCAAAGGAGATGAAACAAAGACCAACTTCAACATGATGATTTGTGACTGTACAGTTAGCTGTCTCTCACCCATCATATCAGAGAGCTCGGAGGCGAAGGGGTCCCCGTGCTGCAGGAAGACGTAGAGCAGGAGACTCTGCTGTATCGAGGAGACACTTTCCTGCTCCAGATCCTCCTGCTCCTGCTCTACTGTGTACACGGTGCCATCGCTGTCTGCAAAAGATGTAAAACATCTTTTTTGAAAGTATAAATGAGAAGGGAATGATATGAAAACATGATTGTTAGTGAGATATTCACTTTAAAAAGTAAGCACTGCGAGTGCAGCGACGGGCTGTAACAATACGGCATGTACGTAACATTGTGGTAATGGCAGACGCACCTTAGGGATGGGCAAGTAATTGTTTCAACATTTGGTTTTTGCAGATCTAGTTTAGAAACTCGAGTTCACTTAAGTTCAATTAGCTAACAGACTTTTTCTCAATCTTGCCTTGGTGTAAAGTAGCAACAATTCAGAGTTTTCTTTAAGATGTTCAAACCTTAATACCTGTCGATTTCCGGGCTAAAATAAACCAAAATCTATTGTTTGCAACAGTATCTTTTCTCTAGCCGCCTTACGACAGAGCAGAATGGTTTATGAGTCTGTATTAGTTTACTTTCGGTATTGGGAATGATGATTCTTGTAATGTTCACTGTCCTGTGGTTGAACTTGTGGATGTGATTCATTGTGTTAGCTACAAGGACAAGAAACAGTAATTTTGCAAGAACCTTTTTTCTGAGAAATCAGCCAATTCTTGAGTAGTAGAGATTCTTTAGTGATGATTAAGCTTGGTTCCACAAAAGTGCCTCTTTACTGTCATCAAGATTTACTCAATTCAGCTCGCTTACACATTGTTTAGATTAATCACTGATTCAAGTAAACTCTTTCAGTAACTTAACTGATGGCAAGAAAGAGAAACAGACTAAATTGATGCTCAAATTAAACATTCATGAAGGCTGACTGGTGTCCCGACACACAAGGAATCATTTGACTATTTCACTGAGACACAATACATATTATTAATAATAACAATATAATATATACTTTGTTAATATGCCAGTATTTTGCAGTTGAAAAATGCATTTTACTGCAAATATAACGTCAACCATATATTTGTTTGACATGTTAGACAACATTAATGTTCACGCCTAGGAAATATTCAACTGTTTTATTCTTTAAAGATCAGCTTGTAGAAACTGAAGCAAGATCAATGTACGATTAGATATTAGATAAGCTGAGGAAAACATCATGGTCAAAGTTATATGCCAATGTAAATACCTGTGGTAACTCAATCCATTTACTCTGTTATAGGTCTTTTCTTGAATTAAAGAGTCATTGTTTTTGCTCAACTCTTTTGATTTGATTCAAATATATGTTTTCCTTCTGATACATTAGGTATCACAGTTCTTGCTACTTCCACGTACCTATAAATCAGCTGACGGATTTACAGCAAAAGATACGATAAACAAGCACGATACAGGAAGCATCTCCTTTTAAGGATTTAATAAGTGACACAAAGTATTTTCCTTGTTTTTTGTTTTAGGAGATTAAACATTGTTACTGTAGGGTTTTTTTATTTGGTGGGTTCTGGTTATGGGACTTTAACGACAATAACATGTGTTTTTAACTGTTAAAAACCAGTTTGAACATAATGCATTGATGTAATCTGGGTTCTCACTACTGTACATGAGTCGTTTTCCTTTATTTCTACTCAAGTGTTCACTTTATTAGTACCTTTACTTCTACTTGAGTCATCTAAATTGAAAAAGCAACAATGATGTTAACTGAGTGCAGTTTTAAATAGTGATTTCTAAACAAATCTGAGTGCGCAGGGACGAACCCTGTCAACCCTTCCTGGAACCCAAACATCTTTGTGGATGGTGATAATATGTGAAGGAACAACTACTTCTTGGATCACAACTAACTGTTTACAATGAACGTAAATGGGTCGTTCGGATTGGAAACACGTGGAAGTAATTTAGTGGAGACAGATTTATTGAATGCAGTGATAATCCTTTTAACCACTGAAGCCCAGATGTGCAGTGTTGGAGCCTCTTCTCTCTAAGTGCTGCCACGTATTATTATTTGTTGTTAGTGTGTTCTGTGTTCTGTTCTTTCTCTCTCCATTGTTCTCTCTGGTTTCATTTATAGGACTCAAATCATGAGCCTCTATGATCCATTAAAGATTATATAGGTGGCTTCAGGGAAGGGCTGTGTGCTCACTCTCTAACACATCTGGTTGAAATTAGTCTTATACTCAGGGCTAATCCGTTGTTTCAGAAAGTCCCTTTTAAAACAGGATTTACTGTCGTGGACTCGAATTACCTTGTTCAATAAAAACCTTGACAGTTCCTTCAGTGAATCACCAAAATGTAGCCTGACCATCAGTACTCGTTGTTCCTATCAGTGGTTGTTGTTTACCTTTAACGGAGGAGCAGTGAATGCCGCACAGCCCCAGGTCCTGACAGTCCAGATTAGCAGGGAGGTTCTGGAAGAAGATGGAGGGCCCTGTGAGGGGAACATTACTGGGGCCGTACACCAACACCTGGACACGTGCAGTCAAGGAACACTAATCCAGATCAGATGCCAGAGCCGATCAACCATGTCGACACAAAGAAGGAGCAGAGTTCCGGCCACATGTGTGATTTCAATGTGTTGGTCATTACCCAAAGCCACTGACCTTAGCTGAGGGTTGGAACGCAACTCCACAGGGGGTTAGGGGGCTGGGTCTGAAAATGTTTGTAGCTTCCCAAAACGGAGGTAAGCTGCGTTTGAACTCGTGCTTCCTTTGTAAACATTTTAAAATAACTATTTCTGCAGTTTCCATGGGAACAACCAAGTGCAACATTATAAAAGCTTCTCAGGACAGAATAGTTGTGTTTTCATCCAATGAAAATTAGGCTCAACTGGGAATACATTTGGATCAAAACCAAGGAAGATGTGCACTGTTATCCCCCTAAATGTAGACAATATTTCCTTTCATCCCTCTCTACAATAGCTGGTTTTTCACTCCGCCTTCAAGAAACACGGTCCTGCAGCCACCACAACAGACACACGCTGTGAAAATCACAAACAGACAGCAAAGGATATTTGGATGTGTGTGAGTTGTGTTGCCAGATTAGGGTACTGCAGTACACAGGGGCTCAGCAGTGTGACGGGCTGCATGCTGAGCTCCCCAAACAGGCCCTGGTCCATGGCTTCAGGGGGGACACTGAGGGGCAACCAGCGTCCGAGGAGAGGGTGTCCTCCATGACACCAGCATCCTTTCTTCACACACTCTGGAGGCCTTAAAACCAACAAAAATATGATATATAAATAACAGTAAACATACCTGAATATGCGTCTGTATTATCAAAATGCTTGTGTTGCATTTATAGATGAAGTTACAAACCTATTAGATTATTTTCTGTCAACATTGATCCACACAAACAAACATGAATTAAATAATATTAAACAGTATTACTGACTGTGTTTTACAGGTGACATCCAGATACAGTGACCATTGGTTTCCTATTGCTGCATTCTTGATTTTCGCTCTGCAAGAATATGTACATAGTGTTAGTACTTAAAAAAACACATGGCAGAGGGGGTTTAAGTAACTAGCCTTTGATTGTGATTATGTTGTAACTCCGTAAAACATGAATGTTTTGTCAAATATATACTTTGAATACATTCGATTGCAGTCATTTTACAGGTGTGAAATTTGCCAGATGTATCAGTACTATACCTGTTGTCGTAGCTAAAGTCTCGCTGGAAGGTCTGCTGGCTGAATTTGAACTTGAAGTGGGTTTTAATCTACGAAAAAGAAGGTTGATCAAATACTTGGTACCTATTTTAAAATCATACAGTGGATACATGTCAGAGAAAAACAGATCTTACCCTTAGGTTAGCCAAACTGTACGTGTGTAGAAACGCTTCTATACGAGCACACAACTCTGGACGGAAAAGTGTTGCATCGTTCATCTGTATAGTGCAAGCAATAGACAGATATTGTATATTAAATAAAAAATGTACCATTAATAATTGAACACATTTGTAAGTTTGGCCAAATTACTAAGATCAGATCCCTCCCACATTTCTTCGGACATTCTTCCTACAAAGAGGTTACTAAGTAATACCAGAAATTATAGAAAAAGATCACAGTTGTTTGTACCTGAAAAGACAGAAGCAATCTGATTGGACCGTATAGTTCAGTGAAGGCACACAGCTCATCAGGGTCAGGTGGAGGACACGCACGGGAAAACATGCTCTCCTTCAAAGCTGTGAGGGTTAACACAGTAAATCAAAGTGATGGAGTGCACAGAGGCGGAAGTCATGTGGGAAGTTGTAAGGTCTGTGTATACTTACCAGGTTGGAGTTCCTTGCTAATCCCTTTGCACCAGTAACCAGCTGCTGCAACTGCACCACAATGTGAACACTGTTACAACACTTAATCATATGTCAGACAACGGTAGCTGGTCACTTTTTGATATTGAGCTACTTTCAGGAAGTCTTTTTCTAATCTTTCAGTTTATTTTTCCAATTTATCATGTCTTTATTAAAAAGAATATCTGTATCTCCTTTTGAAATGAAATGCACATAATTCAGTGACTAACACATCAGTAATTTCAGATGTTAAATTTAAAATGCTCTTTTATTTGTATTACTTTAAATTATTTCCGAATGCACAGCTGTAAGGAAGTATGAAAATGACTAGTCTTGAGTGAAAGAAAAATGCAAGTGAATTATAACCCTTCAATAAATAATAATGTGTTTGATTATAGGAAAGAAAATAAATGTCTATATTGTTTGTAGTAGTATTATGTGCTTGTAGAGACGACCGCTTATTATAATATGTTTTGATGGATTTTTCCAAAAGTAATTAACCTATATTTCACACGTGCTATATTTACATAGTGGTATTGAAGCCTATCTCTCTATCTATCAGAATACTATTTAATTATTTAAGCACTTTGTTTCAACTTTTATAAACATCTAACTGAAAAACAAAACAAATTTAAGATAATGTAATTCCACTGGTGGTGGCTCATCCTGATGAAGCAGCAAAACTATAAACAAACTTTGGGTGCTTTTTAACTCACCAGTACAGTTTAGACTTTGAAATGAATCTCCTGTGTCCGTCCATAGAAGTACTAAAAGCCCTCCTTTCGCGTCCAAACCATCTTGATGCCGTTTCTTTCCAAAAAGCGTGAAAAACCGCAGCACCTGAAGTTGTAGAAGAAATATAGTTTAGCTAACTTTAGCTAAATATGCTATGCTAGCTAGCTTCCAACATTTGCTAGCTCCATTTGACAAATAACTACAGGCTGAGGTTATCTGTCATTTAATCAGCATAGTTACACGTACACAACGTTTTGTTTTCTAACGATAATATTTATTATTTAAAGTATTACCTGCTGTATCTCTCTGAGCATCCTTCATGTACAGTACAATGCGCGCGCTGGAATGAGCATTCTGCATCTGTTTCTGTTAAATAATGTACCACCTATGTGATGGATAGTGACAAAGTACATGTACTTAAGTAAGAACTGTACTTAAGTACACATTTGCAGCACTTGTACTTTACCTGAGTATTCTCAGTTTATGCTATGTTATACTTCTACTACAATTAAAAGCCAATATTGTACTTTTTACTCCAGCACATTTATTTGACAGCTATTGTTAGTTACTTTTATATTTAGCTTATTAGCTCATGGAAATCTAGATGAGTTATATAGATACCCAGCATCAATACAGTTATTCAAATTAGTTCTACATACCCTTCATCATAATAGTAACCATTAACTCAACAATGGCCATTACGCAGAAGGAGTAGGCTACTTTTACTTTTGGTACTTTAAGTATATTTTGATGTAGATACTTGTATACTTTTACTTAAGTAAGATTTTGAATGCAGGACCCTTAGTTGTAACAAAGTAAATTAAGTATTTCTACTTTTAGTTGAGTAACAAATCTGATTTCTTCTTCCACGACTGCATCTGACTATAAACTATCCACAGCTGTATATAATATATATCTTTTTTTAAAGTACAAAGTTATATTTTTCTTTACTAAACTGTATGTGTGTGATCGTAGTAACAAGCTCCTATTCATGTTTTTAAGCCACCCAAAGCTTCAACATGATCTTAACTTCAAGTCCACTTTCTTGCTTTTTATTCAGCTTTTAACCACATCTCACAGTAGGCCTATTCCTCAGCTGACTGTTCTTACCTTTTACAATCTGTTTCTACCTACATTAGATCCCACCAAATGTGTACATCTTTAAACGATTCAGAAAGTGCTATTTCCGTTTTGCATTTCTGGATGTTTGGCTCCTTGAAATTATCCCAACAAAAAATGGAAATCTGAACAGTAGATAACATACATGATTTTATTTGTATATATATATTCATAGATTTTTAATACAATGATGTAGACTATGAAAACAAAACAATACAACAAACATTTAGTTTGATTTCACAATTGCTATTTGTATAAATATATATGAAGAATTCCTTCAACATAAATCATTTCCCCTCTTTCTCAGACCACTCCTTGTATCCTCCGGCATAATTACGTGCACTGAAACAGAAGACAGGGGCACACTTTTAGACCAATAAGCACATATAATGACATAACACACGGCCAGCAAAGTCAGGCGATGTTACTGTGAGGAAAGACAATTGTTCAAGAGTGTATTGGAGTCTTAGAAGCAAGATGGGCGGTGTGTGTGTGTGTGTGTGTGTGTGTGTGTGTGTTAGTTTGAGTTTCTACTTAAAATGTTTAGCAACCAATAATTTATTTACTTCACGTATCCCAGTTGGTGGGCCTTGTTTGTGGCATTTAACCCTCGCTTGCCCAACTGGCAGTGAAACACCAGCTCTGGCGCATCTTGCGGTGGCTTTGTTACTCCGAACTTGGCCTTGAATTCCTCTGGCGCCATTGCAAAAGCAGCCTCTACTGTATCAACTGAAAGAAGAAAGGGAGGAGGAGAGAGAGGCAGAAAATGTTTTAGGATTAAATGGATGAAAACAAACTTGGGTATCCAGTATGCACAATAAGAGTTCAGTGTTCAGTATTAGGCAAACATACTATGTATTTTACCTTGATTTTATTTTAACCCTGCATGTAAATAAGTAAAGGAAGCTTACCTGGAATGTGAACAGATCCTTGAATTTGTCCTTTATCCACTTCCTCTTTAGTGCGAACATCCACCACAAGCAGATTCTGACTCTTTCCCAGAAGGGCTTTCAGATCCTCATAGGAAATATCCTTAGTTACTGGCAATGCAACAGGAAACACATCAAAAACGTTATCGTCTGATAAGGATTTTATTAAATACTCCTATAAAACTGCACCTTTGATGGCTTCAAGTTGTAAAAGAGGCTGCTAAAACATGCTGGAATCACTTCACCTTAGTTGAGAAACATATATTTGTATTGCATCATAGATCATCATGTCCATCACAGGACATACATAAATATAAAAACAACATTGTCTTTTCTTTTTTATTTATCAGGCCCTATTATTCACTACTCTACCATATACAAACAACCTGATTATCATTATATTCACAAACGGTCACAAAATACAGTAGATTATGCCACAGCAAACAGGGAGGTGTACATATTTAACCATCTAATGGTACCCTAAGATAAATAAAGTATTCTGCTGATTTAAAATGTGTGGAGAAAGAAAGCACTGGTATCAGTGGAAGAAATCCTGAGTTGAGTATAAATATAAGCATAAGTGGAGGAAATCAGGTTAAATTTCAATTTGGTTTTAAATTGCTTGGGGGGAAAAAGACTTGGTGATGATTTAGATGTCTGGAGCCTGTTTTGAACGTTAAGGGGACATTCCTCTCCAGATGATTGCTCCCTCATGCTTGCACTTTTTCTTAGTGTTTAGTGTGGTAGTGGTGAGAGCTTGTAATAGAAGTACAGGCACAACGCCTTTGATGCGGCAGGGAGGCAGGCTATGCAAGCATGTTTTGCTTCATTGGAGAGTGAAATTATGAAACTGGTTTGTTGGCTTGCCTGAGTAACCAGCTGGCATTCCCAGAGGGTACAGGTAGGTTACACCTCATCAGGATAATCGTTTCATTTCTGCTGAGTCATTCTGAATCATTGAGACTTATAACTACTATACAGGAGATTTGTCTTCATTTAATATTTATTAGTTAGACAAGTCTGTCCACGAGACAATTTTACTTGCATTAATACTGATTAATATTGTGATCTAAATAATCTTAAAACTACACAGATGATAATACAAAGCACAACATTATTGTTGCTTCTTAACTGTATTCAGAGGTTGTTTGAAATAAAAAAGTCCCCGAATATAATGTTGGGTTTGTTTAATAAAAGAAAGAAACAAATAGTTAGGAATGCATTTGGTTGAAACAAGTAATTTATTATGTGTAGGTGTGAAGTAAAAAAAGTATTGATGGTAAAAACATAAAACTGAGGTATGATGTTAATTGTTTATCAAACATATAGGACTTTGTTTTTGTACTTCCTTACCTGGAAGTGAAAGGGTTGCGACCAGATAATGATATGTAAAAAGGGCAGCGTTTGGTATAACGCGTTTAAGCTTCGGCCGTTTCGGTTAATATTTATTTATTTTCACTTTAATTTAATGTTATTGGTTTATTTTTTAGGTGCATTTTACAACTACGGGAAATCCTAATACGACATTAAAACTTTAAATAAGCTACTATTTCAACTAAAAGTTCTCAGCCAACATTTGGGATGTTTAAAGACGTTCATAAAGTTCAAACACACTGCTGTTAGTTAAATGTATATCTCTTTATAACTGCATCCGTAAGAGAAGTCAAAATGTACACACCTGAGCTCGCCATCCTGCTTTTATGAATGTCTTTCAATACGTTAAAAAGGACTATACCATAGTTTTTCCTTGTTATGTGTTCACTGACATTTCATTGGCTTAGACACCTAAAGAAGGCGGGACTTAGCTTGAAAATCTGCAGCCGTTGACCAATTATATCTTCTTCCCCACTTGAGGTGATTTTACAGGACTTTCAAAGTAAAAGTGGAAGTTGAAGTTGGCTAACAAACAAAAAAAAACAGACCTTCAGTTGAAATAAGGAACAGATAGCACAATGTTAATCATAATCTGTTACAGTAAATAATCCTGTATTCAAAATATAACTAAGTTAAATATCGTCAAAATGTATTACAATATCCATATCAATGTTATTGCCCTTTTCAGAGTCTAATTCTTGATGTATCATATTATTAACATATTATTAATGCATTGTTGTAGCTAGTCAAAGTAGAGGTTTTCTCCTGCTGAATAGTTTATTCTATAAAAAAGCACCATATTCTATAAATAGTTTTATCAATTTACATTTTAAATCTACAAAGGGAAAATAAACTAAAGCACTCATTACATGTAGGGGAGTGAAAGGGATGTAGATTCCATCTGAAATGTAGTGGAGAATTATACTGTTACACAAAAGGAAATTACTCAAGCAAAGCAAAGCCACTGTGCTTAAACTATTTCACCACTGCACACAAATGGATGACAGTGTTAAACAACTAATAAATGAGAGGAGAACAATGACAATGTATGGTTTCATACATTATACAAGGGTTCAATGAATGATGAAAAGCATGTTCTATTGCCTACAGTCAACATCTCAACCCAAATCAACATTTTGGACCAACTTTTGTTCAGACTCCAAGGTAAAGTTTAGTAAAACTGATGCCAAGGTCAATTTAAGATTAAGATGAATGTTCTTCTTCATAACAAATGTCACACTTCAACCTGTAGGCCTATTCAAAAAACGCTCAGAGGAAAAAATAATAATCAGCAAAGAGCTTTTACTAAGTTTTTATTAAAATAAGTTTTAGTTAATTACAAGAGTCAGAATCTATATTCTACACAAAATATATTTACAACACATTTAAGCCATGATAAGAGGAGACAACTCTACAAGAAACCAAAGGCTTATTCGCCAGCAAATAAACCTGTAGTTCAAACCACAAAATAACAAAATGGCCCATTTGATAATGTTATTCCATGAACACCACTACTCTTTCCCCACATATGTTAAGATTTTCCTTGAAACAGGAGTGTAAACAATTTCTTAATTCTACAATCAATCATATTACCACCCCAGAACTGTTTGTGTGTTGTTCATGATTACATTGTTGTTGTAGTTTTCCCTGTCTCAAGGGGACTGTTCAGTGGGCGGGGGGTGAATTGTCTGTGGATCACAGAGTCCCCTCTGTGCTGTAAGAAGGATTTCCCAGTCCATTAGCAGAGTCTCTCTTTGCCTTTTTACGCATTTGATGCTTCCAGAGGATCACAGCTGCTATGATGAGAACAAGTAGGAGGGCGACTCCCCCTCCAATAATCCCAGCTAACAGTTTATGGTCAGAAGATTCAGGGTGCTCATACCGCATACAGG